CTACGTTAATTAACATGTACAAGGCCGAATATTCTCTATGATGTAGGAGTTGTAAGTCGTTATATGGAAGCTCCAACAACAACTCACTTCAAGGCGGCAAAGAGAATTCTTCGATACATCAAAGGTACAACAAACTTTGGCTTGCACTATTACTCTTATAAAAATTATGATATTGTTGGCTATAGTGATAGCGATTGGAGTGGAGACTTGGACGATAGAAAGAGCACTACTGGTTTTGTATTCTTCATGGAAGATACTGCTTTCACTTGGATGTCAAAGAAGCAACCTATTGTCACATTGTCAACTTGTAAAGCCGAATATGTCGTCACTACATCATGCGTTTGTCATGCAATTTGGCTAAGGAGCTTGTTGAAAGAGTTAAAATGCCACAAGAAGATCTTATAGAAATATGTGTTGACAATAAATCAGCACTTGCTTTGGTAAAGAATCCTGTATTTCATGAAAGAAGTAAGCTCATAGACATCCGTTACCACTTCATAAGAGAATGCATCAAGAAGAAGGATGTGAAGTTGAAGTATGTGATGTCTCGAGATCAAGTCGCCGATATTTTCACCAAGTCACTCAAGTTGGAAACTTTCGTGAAGCTAAAAAGTATGCTTGGAGTCATAAATCAAGTTTAAGGGAGGATGTTGGAAGATTAAACTTTTTTGGGGTCTAAACATATTATTTGGATTTAGTTATTTTTGGTTTAGGTAATTTTAATTAATGTTTCTAAAAAACTCTTGTAATGTTTAGAGTGTCTAGATATTTTTTAGGGTTGTAATATTTTATAGAATGTTTTTGGAATTCTTAGAGTTAAGAACTCTCTAGAATTAGTATGGCTAGAATTCTCCTTAGAGTACTATAAATAGAGATGTAATTCTACACTTTTGTATCAAAGAAAATATAAATTTCTATTTCAACACTGTTGCGGTTAGAATAGGATATCAAATTATTAATTAATTTGAATCACATCTTTAGTTCACAACCGCTCTTTGATTTATCCGAAGGAAAAGGTCAAAAGAGAGAAAACCTATTTTTGCATCGTAAACACAATGCGGGGAGAGACCTAGGTAAGGGGTTGGTTAAGTTTAGCGAAGGTACTAGCACCCTAAATTTATGTAGTACTCTACAGGAACCTTTTGTTTAGTGTATGCTTTTTTATTTTATTATCTGTTTGAAATATATTGCTAAGGGATATAGTGACCTAAAAGACCTAAAGGTTAGTCCTAAGTTTACTCGGCAAGATGTCGCATCTTGTGCCTACGTATCCTGGATAGGGAATGGAATCAGAGTAATCTTAGTTCCCCTCGAAAGGGAGGTTAGAAACGTCTTGACTGTGGTCAAGGTTTCAAGGGGAGTAAACGTATCTTAAGTACACGCTTACGTGGAGTTTTGAAACTCCTATTTCTATGTTGAATTTGTTAATTGAAATTAGGGTTAAGAGGTATTCCACGGCGGGAAACCCTAAAACAGAGTACAGTGACTCTTTGACCTAAAGCTAGGGTAAAGTGCATTTTCGTTCGTGGCGGGACACCTAAGCTATTATGGTTTTGAAACCGTCAAAGGGTAAGGCTATTGACTCGGCGGTCAAATTGTTAAAACTAACTCCTTCGGATGGTTCCTAATGGTAAATTAATGGAAAAGATGAATTAATGATATACGGTAAAAATTAAAGTGCGGAAAGTAAAGAAAACGGTAAAGAAGGCATCGCGACGATCACTCGCGTAAATTACAAGTCCCAAAAACAAATGCGAAAAATAAAAATAACCGCGACCGTGGCCTCGCGTAAATTATATCCATAGAAAATACTATGGAAGCCAAAAGGATTACTATTCAAAGCTAAACAAGAGACAATGAAATCTAGACGAACAGTTAACAGAAACGGTTAGGAGATTTTTATTTAAAATGCAACAAATGATTTTTAATTTTTTTATGTAAAATGAACTTTAATTTAACTACAAAAAATGAATTTAATGTTTATGATAAACTTATTTTTTAATTTTAAATGCTAAAAATGTTTTTTTAATGTTAAAATGTTAAAAATGTTTTTTAATGTTAAAATGCTAAAAAAAATAGTTTTAATTTTTATTTACACAATTTGTTTTAACTTAATTAAGAAAAAAGGTCTTAATTTTTTTTATGTACAACTTCCAATTTAATGTTAAAGAGATTTTTTCTAATCTAAAGGGAATGAGTTTACGGTTTAAAAAATGTCCTAAGTTTCTTTATTTACAAGATGCTTATTTTTATTATGTTTTTTTTTAAAGAAAGAAATATTACAATCAGGTTTTTTAAAGCAAACTTAAAAATTAATGAAAAATAAGAAAAAAAGAAAGCAAACTTAAAAATTAATGAAAAATAAGAAAAAAAGAAAAACAGAACACTAAAATTGAAAGGGTAGGGCGGATCATTGGTATTCTTCATTTGCTTTAGGGTTTGGTTTATCTCTCTCCCTCCCAATGACAGCGGCGGCGGCGCCATTGACGTCCGTCTAAGCCCTTCATCTTCCTCTGCTTCGCATGTCCGACTTTTCACTTTTTGGATACCTGAAAACCAACATCCAACCATTAATGAAAAACAATGCTTACCCTTTGTCGGATATGTTTCGGTCGTGAGTTTAATGCATGTTGCCGGTGATTCTCCGCCTCTAATTTGGGCAATCTTGCATGCAGTGACGTTTCTCTGCTGTTGGCCGGTGATGGAACGATAACAGCCGAGGATGTCGATAGTGGACTGAGGTCGGGTCTGCTTGCATGTGAGGCTCTTCACCTTCGTATGAAGCCCGACGACTCTTCCGTTGAACTTCTTCTTGCGGATGGTTTTTCTGATCTTCTTCTTCTTTCTGTTCGAAGGGATGATGATGATGAGGTTTTTGAAGCTCATCTGAATCCCACTCAGTTGCGCCGCCGTTTTGGGTTTATTGTGTAGTGTTTTTTCTGAAAGAACCTTGATGATTTATATGTTGTTGTATATCTTGCTGGGTTTGTGAACGTGGGCTTATTGTTGCGATTTCGCTGCAAAAATGTTGCTTGATTCGCGGTTGATTTGTTGCCTGATGCATTGGAGATTAACGCGCTGGATCCTTGACTTTGCCGGCTTATGTTGCCTCTCGTATTTGCTTTGTATTGATCCATTCTTAGGCCTCTTTTTATGACTTGATTATTGTTGCTGAGTTAGAATTGTTCTCGGTTGGGCTTGTGGATCCGTTGGCTTCGTTGGAATTTTGGAAATCTGTTTGTCCGAAAATCACTTTGAATAAGTGCTTATTCAAATGAGCTTTTCCCCAAAAGTACTTTTCTGGATAAGCGCTTTTTTTGGATAAGTGCTTTTTCTTGATCATTGCCGTTAAGGCCTGTTTGACAAACCTATGTTCTAAGAAAAACACTTTTTTAAATAAGTGCTTTTCCAATAAGCACTTTTGTGAAAAAAGTTTTTTTTGCTTAATCACTTTTCTGAAACCAGCTTTTTATCTCTCTTTCTCTCTGTCGCCTCGGAAACAAGAACAAAAACCAGCTTGTTAAAATGCAATAAAATTAATTTAAGAAAATGTCATGTGATGAATCTAAAAGAATGACGTGTAATTGATGAAATCAATTTAAAATAGAAATGAGACATGAAATGAAAAACCAATTTTCCCTATTAATTCTTAGTTATTCCGATTCACTTCCGATGAAACCTTCCGGCCATTCAAATGAGCAATTTTATCCGGATAAATCCAACTGTCTGATTAAACTCTCCAACTGTCTGATTAAACTCAAATGATCGCATTCTCCGGCTAGACCGATTTAATTCAATACAGCTTAAAATCCTTCACAATCAAACCATTCCCACTACACCTCGGCCCCGACTCACATCAACAATATACGACGATTCAGATTTCCTGACTACAGCTCCACATCCAAGAATTGACAACCGGCCGCATGCAAATGACCATTCTACCCTTCATGGACTAAAACGCACCACATAATATTTTCCTGCAAAAATCAACCAACTGCACAACCCGTTAGTGGTTAGTTTAAACGCAATGCAAAAAGAAATGGGATGCGAGTTGAAATGACTAATCTTAGGGCAAAATTTGGGGTATTACACACAATTTCACTAAACACAAAAGATTTTATTTCCAACATATTATTTTGCAATCTTGAGCGAGAAATTGGGACGATGTAAATTGTCATTTGCAGATAACGCTATCTATGTCGGTGTAGTGGAGACTTGAGCTGAAGCCAAAGGCAAAACCAGTGGTGGAATTGCCATGGTCAAAGATCGTGTTAGTAATCTGATATCATGTTAGAATCGATAGAATTAATAGTTATATTGTTCATTTTCAGTTGTAACTGATTTTCATTAACTGAATTCATTGAATACAAATGAGAGCAGCAGATTGCATTTATAATAGCAACCAGTTAATTTGCTTAGATATCCATCAAATTAAAAATGAAATTGATGTTATTATCAGTTCAATTAGGTTTTGAAGAATTAAAAAAAATTCTTTTTCTTAACCAGATGCCAAATTCCACTTTCAGAAAAATGATCTCTTTTGTAAATTGTAATTTTACTTTCAATACTTAATTTATTAAATGGAGAGAAAATATGTAAACTAAGAATCTCTTTTGTAAAATTGTAATTCTACTTTCAATACTTAATATCAAGGAGCTTTTGCTTGGTCAACTGGAATTTATTTGATAATATAGTGAACAATGTGGTGCATGCAGTTAAGATGATATGGTTTGTTAAGAGAGAGAATATTTGAAAGTAATTGGAAGGTATCCGATTTAATATCGTAAAAATTAATATTATTGTAGATTTCTTTAACTTTAACAGTAAAGTTGAGTCGTACGTAAAAATTAATATTATTGTAGATTTCTTTAACCTAACAATAAAGTTGAGTCGTACATACACAGTTGGGAGACTCAATTGAGCCTTTATTCTAAAATCACTTTTGTCTCACCCAAAGTGGAACAAAACATACTAAATCTCATCAATTGCAACTCTGAAGATCAACTTAGCATTGTTGGAGGCCCACTCTGTAGCATTCTCATGATGATGTCCATCCCAAATGCAGAATCGGATGAACTGGTCAAAAATAGCAGAATGTTAACTTGGCAGCCTCAGCAAAATTAAAGAGAAGTACATGAAACTAAAACACATCATGCAAGGTTCCAAGGCTAGAAATTTTCTTCCAATGAAGATATTCTCAAAATATCAGCTTTATGAGACAATTGCGGCTTATATTGGCCAGTCAAAGTTAAATTTTGATTATGAGTTTACGCCACTCTTTTCAATTGGTCCAACTAAGACCCACTATCACTTTCCTCTCTGCTTAAGCTCTCAAAGTTTAGTTTTTTACTCCATATTCCATAAAAGTATGCTAATGGGATCACAGTGTTGTAGAAGCATAAGACTTGCATTATTTAAATGATCAAATGTACTAGTCTACTACATCTGCTATGATTCCTCACAAAAGGATCAGAAAAACAACGAAACCAATAATGGAGTGGGTATTCTGAACAGTGTAATGTGTATGATAAAAAAATTCTACACTTAAATTAACTTACAACCTATGAATAAAAGTGAAATGTGAGAATCTCTACGACTAACTGTGTCGCGGTATCCGACATTTGTATTACGATGAAGAAAATCCATTTAAAGACATTAAATTTGATAAGAACATTTTTAAATTTTTCAATAGTAGATGAATAAATGAAGAGCAAATACTACCGTATATGCAGCGGTGTCAGTGTCCTACGTCTTTGGCATTAGCGGTGTTGATGTGCTAGTGTTCGTGCTTCATAGATGGATAACACAATATCATCAATACAAAGTGTCAGTATAAATTTTCTCCTAACACTAATTTCAATCAACATAAAATCATCTAGCAGTTCTTTCAAAATAGAATTGAGCACCAACTTCCATACAATTATCCACCAAACACTAAAGATAGGTTTAACAAGAGGATACAGATTCAGAGTTACACCTTGTAATATGGTGTTACACTTAAATTACACCTTTAAAGTTAACTTCACATCACAATTACAAACAATATCCAACAAAGTGGAACAATTATTCAGAATCAAAGATATCAGAATATAAAAAAGAAAATATGAGATGCATAATCACAAAGGATATATTAGAAAGTATACACAGCTCACCTAGGTATTGTAATTTCATATGGAAACGAAATAACATCATCAAAATTTGGTATTGGTGGAATATTATAGTCCTCCTTGGTGAAGAAATCGATTATTTGAGACAAAACATTACGTATGGATTCTTCAAGTGCTTCCCTTCGGGCAATATGAGCCTCCAATGCTCCCTCTACTCATGATAAATGGGCAATAGAGACAAGATTACAAATAAAGAATGAGGGAGTCAGAAGAAACTCATTGTATAATAAGAGTGAAATATAAAAAAGATTTGCCTATCAAACATGGAAAGCAACTGCACCTTCGCAAGAATGACGATACTCGGTTGAATCCGATATCAGATTCAAATTTATATACCAATGCTCAAAATACACACGCTCAGTCCTGTTTCTGAACCAAAATGTCTTTTTGTTCTTAACCTCATAGAAAGATAAGCATATCTGCATCATTAAATTCAAAGCCCTATAAGAAAAAAAACTCTTATCTTATTTTCAATCCACAAGAAAATACCTAACCTGGCTCTTTTTTACTGGATTTTTCACCAACCAATCAAGAAACTCCTCAATTTTCTCTTCTATTTTCTTTTCAACCTCAGTCTCTCCACATTGAACCTACAATCAAATGTTTTCTATATGATTAAAGCATCCATGATCATGATAGAAACAAAAAGAAAATTGAAATTAAAAACGTACATAGGTGATATTACAGAGTTCCATGTGTACATCTTTTGGTTGCACAGGACCATACGCACGGTGAAACATGATCTGGTGCAATATACCTACAACACCATTACTCAAAATAATCAAGAAAATCTTTATCCAATTCAAAATTCAAACGAAAACAAGAGTGAGTTATGGAAAATTTACATCGCAAAACTTCGTGTATCTCAACTAGCTCGACTTCCTGCATAATAGAAGCAATTGGAATAAGACAAAGAAAGAGAGGTGCGAGTAGTAGAGAAGGAAGAGATAAAGGTTTACGAGTTCGTTGAGCTGAAAAAATTCACAGCTCATGATTGGATGAAACCCTAGTTTTCTCGGGGAAGAAGAGAAAGAATAATGTGGATGAGAGAAGAAGGGGAATAGCGTCAAGTGTTTATATATGTGATTTAACTTGCAAGTGTAGAGAGTAGAGAATAGGGTATTACGCAATAAGAATGCCAATGAGAGTTAGTTAAGTTCGTTATAACTGTAACTTGCGAAATAATTTAATATATTCGTATCATTTTTTTATACATAAACTATATATATCCTTTAAATCACAAGAAATCAATAACAAAACTTTTTTTTCAATTTTATACAATTATGCTAAAATTATTTAATTTTTAAATAACTAACTACCAATTAAGTGTAAAAGATAATATATGCTCACACTGATCTTATTTATAAGACTCTCAAAGTATTACATATATTAGAAAAAATTATTATTATAATTATTATGTATTTTTTTTATGAAGAGCCGTCAGCAAGTGGTCATTTATTTATAAATTTGAGACATTAGAGATATCATATCTCCGCGGATCGAAATTGGGCGTACTTGATAGTGGAGACTCCTTTGGTCTTCAATAACTCGGTAACTTACTTTAGAGGAATAATGAAGGCCATGCCTAGCATTGAGAAATACGAGGTAAAAAAGTCATTTCGGGCCTCGTAACGTTGAAGTAAAGTATCATTGAAGACATCTTCGATTGACATTCTGGTTTAATCTCTCACCTGGCCTTGTCGATCTATATGGAGAGAATTAGATGAAAGAAAGAAACTAGACTTAGTTTGTAAGGACCGAGGGAACATTTTGGAAAATAGACCCTAAGGAATATCACTTCTGGGCAGCTATTCTCTCAGCACAATCGGAATCTGATCAGACACTAGAGGACACACTTATGCGCCTTCTATAGACGCGTCATCAATTGCACTTTGAAAGATTGCCAAAGTATAACATTGGGCTACTTCCATAACGTATAAGAAAGTGTTGGCGATTCAGAGGCACCTTTTAGTTGAAGAAGCCCAATTGGATTTGAGGTGGGTCATCTCCCCATCTGTCTTTGTTGATGCACCAACCAATCAAATAGTATGTTATAAAAAGAGGAGAGTGTTGTATCCTTACAACTCCTTCTATGAATTAAATACTTTGTAAAATTGTTGCACAATTCAATAATTAATATGATAATTTTTATCATCCCGACTGCAAAGAATCTTATGAATTCCTTGCAGAATGGAGTAACTCACTCTTTTTAAACAGACTTTACGTCTAAGGAACATTCTTCTCAATGTAGTTGGTGCACCCCCTCGTAGGAACTTACCACTCCAAGAGTGTGGGCGATGAAACCCAGAGGCGCCCACCTCAAACTAGGTCAATCCTAAGGGGGAAAGCACAAGAACCAAACCTTTGGCGGGGGACAACTCCTATCGATGTTGAAAAAGTGTAACACCACAAACTACTTTCAGGATTATCGACTGATCCTACAAACCAACACAAATCTTTTCAACATGTTAGGACTCATGGCTTTGGATATTATTGATCACACTTTCAAGACTGATATTGTTCAGGTCTTTAGCTTCCTGAATTGATGTCACATTTGATCTGTATTTGGCAGGAAGACTCCTAATAATCTTCTTGGTATGATCATAGGCGTTATAAAAAAATTTCAAGACTTGAAGTCCAGACACAAGAACTTGAAACCTTGAGAACATGGTTTCAATGTTTTCATCCTCTTTCATTCTGAACATCATATATTTTTGAACCAGAAGATTAGCTTTGGCTTCTTTGACTTGTTAGTTTCCTTCATAAGTAGCACATAAAGATTCTAAAATAGTTTTGGCAGGAACTTGTCAATGATCTTTATGTACTCAGAGTGAGGCAAAGCATCTACCAGAATATGTTTTCTGTAAATCTTCTTCAGAGCATGTGTGAGAGTTTTTCTATTAGCTACCATTCCTACTCCATTCACATGAATATCAATGTCATCTTCAAGAATGTCCCACAACTCATCATTAAGAACTATGATATGTGTGTATATCTTGCTTTTCCACCATTCAAATTTAGTAGAGTCTCCACTGAATGATGGAGGTCTAACAACATAGTTATTATTTTCAGATGTACTATAATCATGATTAACAGCACCAAGAGGAATAGGTTATGGATTAGGATTACCATCACCAGATTAATATGTTTCAGATTCATAATCACTCATGATAAAGAAAGAAGTGTTTTTCTCAAGATATTTTTTATACTAGTGTTAAGTCTTTAACACCGATCTTGCTCTGATTTCGACTGAAGGTTAGAAAAACACAAGAAAGATGTTGAATTGTGTTGGATTTTTCTTCTCTAAGTTTTTTCTTATTCTGCTTCTAATGGATCTCAATCAGATTTTGAACACTTGGTTCAGAGTCTGGCCTAGAGATATTAGGTTAGCTTCTAAAAATCCTTATCAGATTCTAAAACAAAATCTAATTCAGAGTTGAAAATTTAATAGTAGCAGAAATATAAGTATAGAAGCAAGGAAAGTACAAACAAAGATACACAACATTTATTATGGTTCCTCTCACATAGTAGTCTAGTCCCTTTGTACTTCAAAGGGATTTTCACTACAACCAAACTAATTACAAATACTCAAGAAGCAAGCAAGAGACTTCGAATACTTAAACCCATAAGTAAGTAAGAGACTTTTATGCTTAAGCACATAAGCAAGATACTTCCAGTACTCAAACTCTTAAGTAAGAGACTTTTACGCTCAAGCACACAGGCAAGAGACTTCAAATGCTCAAGCAACAAAGCAAGAGACTTTTGACTCTATAAAAAATTGTTAAGAGATTTCGGTAACAACTACATTTGATATACAGTCAGAGGTGTAGATAGAATACAACTTAGAAAGACTCTAATACTTAAAAACTATATTAATGAAAATTAATTTTGAGGAAACAGTAGAACAAAAATATTGTTAACCCAATACTATACTAATATTTGTAGATAAAATTGTGAAATTACTTTGATGTTCATTTTGATGTTCTGGCCTGGGCCCCGGCTTGACCGGGCAGGCCCAGCCCAATAATATTCCGCCAAGCCCAATCCAACTTGGGCCGCAACCGTCGAGCACATGGTCCCCGACGGGAAGGTAATGTCCCTCCGTGGGCAGAACATGCCTCATCTGTATCGAATGCAAGACTCCCCGTCGGGAAGACCCTGCCCCCGTTGAGCAGAACCTCCCTCCGCGGGCAGAACCTGCTCCCTTGTCGGGCAGGACAATGTGTCCTTCACGCGTTCTCCACGTGCCCCCCTCCGCGGGGACACGTCACCAACCAGCTGCCCACCTCCGAAAGAGCAGGTCAAACCCATTTTCCGGAGACCACGAGACAGTTGAACTAGGGCGAAGACCACGTTCTGGTCTTCACTACGCCACAAGCCCTAGCAGTCATTTGGGTTGGGCCTTCCCATCTAACCCAACTCAAATGACCGTAGGCCCTGCGCTGGGGTCTCTCTTTAAATACCCTCTTCTCCAAGAGGGTCAGGTAATCTCTTCTTACCCCCTTTTTTGTACTTGTGATCACTCTGCCCATACGCTTACTTTAGCATCAGAGTGTCTTGTAGGTACACCCCCTCTTCTTCAACACCGGTGAACAGGCAACCAGTCGAAGATGTGTGGCAGCCAGTAATCCCCTTCTGATCAGGTCAGATCAGTGGCGCCGTCTGTGGGAACCTAAAACTTCCCTGTTCCTCCGAGCGGAGAACTAAAGTTTCACCAACATTTTGCGATCATGGCTAGCCCACACCACGACGATGCTGTTCACGACCTCATCCTCACCCCTGCCGCAAACGGCGGCAAGCAAACGGAGATGTCCCAACCTCCGGAGACCAACGAGAGGGACGGCCAGACTGCCTCTCCTTCGTCCGCAGAAGCTGCACACCATACTGTTCTCCGACCAAGGAGCCCAGCAGCATTCCAACCCATCATTGTCCCCCGACAGTGGTCGCCCTCTTCGCGGCCTTCAACCAAACAAATCAGCTGTTGTTCCAACAGAACGTGCGAATTGGCGCACTAGAGCACGAAGTCCCGCCGAGGTCCCCTCCGCGGGAAGACCAGAATGGGAATTCGAGGAATCCATCGCCTCGCTCCAAGAGTCGACGGCCCCGGCTGGAGAGGCCCCAACCCGAAGTAGTGCGAGAGCGGACTAGGTCCCCAACGAGACAAGTCTGGGAGCGACGGCCAACCAGAGGGGATCCCTCGACCAGACCTCCGAGGGTCGAACCCCCGGCCAGGAGGCTGAGGGCGCAAAATCAAGCACCTTCGCCACCAGGGCCATCACCCCCTCGATCACCAACTCTCAATGACGAGGACAACTACAGGACCCCCTTGTCCCGAGAGATCATGGATGCTCCCATTCCCCACGGGATGGAAAAACCCCCAGCACTCTCGACATACAACGGCACCTCCGACCCAGACGATCACCTGGAAGACATCGAGGCCATGCTCGACTACCGAAATGTCCAAGGAGCTATCAAATGCAGACTCTTCCCGACAACACTGAGGAAAGGTGCCATGACGTGGTACAAAAGCCTGGAGCCAGAATCGGTCACGTCGTGGAGGGTTCTGAAGGACCTCTTTTCAAGACACTTCACAACATCCTGGCGCCATCCGAAGACGGAAGTCGTGCTGGGCGCCATAATCCAGGCTCCCGACGAGCCCCTTCGAGAGTACATCGAAAGGTTCAAACGAGAGGCAGTACAGGTAACAACGTCAGACGAGATGAAACGTTACTTGATGGAGCAAGGCTTGCACCGAGACTCCAAATTCTACGAAGTTGTGGCCATACACCGACCAGCCTCTCTACAAGACTTCCTCGATAGAGCCGCGCATTACATCCGGTTCGAGGAGACTCAAGCGGCCAACTCCGCCCAGGACACGCGAGACCGGGAAGCCCCCCGCGGGCCCTGAGAAGAGGGAGCCTCGAGCCACCGGTGCAGAGGAGATCGCCAACGGGAGGATCCCTCCCGCGAACACCGCGAGCAGCGTGGTCCA